ATGAGAAGAAAAAACAAACTCGGCAAGTTGAGTGAATACGAATGGTTCGGTGAAGCCTTCCATCGAAAACTGTTTAGAGAGAAAAACAGAGAGAGAGAGAGAGAATGAAGGGAAAGGAGAAGAGAGTTTTGTGGGTTTTCATGGGCGAAGATCGAAAAACTTGCGTGGCATTCCTTTCTGCGATCACCTTGATATTTTAGTGTGTAGTTGATGGTGCCTCAAGCTGCATATCTACTTGTTTGATTTCCTATTCCTTTTTTCTATTATCATTATCCAATGGTCATTACTGCCATTAACTGTTGAAAGGCCCACTTTTTCTCAACCAATGCCTTGATAGCAGAGTAGAGATTTCTGTCAAATGTCTCCGGTACGATGGATATGTTGGAGAATCTCACGCTTAACCCGAAGCTACATTGATTGCTCATGGTTATGGTTCTTAACGTCTCGATTGCTTCATCTTTGCATCCTTTCACCAGAAGCCATCTGGGTGATTTGTGCATTGCAAAGTGGATGGTTATACAGTAAAAGATGGCTAGCACGATCGTCCATAGATAGAAGGTCCGCCACAAAAAGAACAACCACTCCACCTGTAACAAGTGCAAATACCCGGTTTCCATTAAATTATGCAATCCTACCAAACTTCAGACCCGAGGAAACATTTGTAAGTTCTGTCTTTGAATTCTTTGGATGTATCTTTTTCTGAATTTTCTTTTAAGTTGTGCATTTGAGTTTCTTTCATTTCATTACCATGGATCACTTGTAGACCCATTATATTCTTTGCTAATACATATGGAACAGATTGGGTTAAAAGTCTTAAGACTCAGGGTTGTTATTCATATGGGTTTCTAAGAAGATAGAACTGATAGTCTATCTGATGGGGTTCTATCTGTTGTGATCAACTGAATGTGTAACCGGGTTATGGTTAAGGTTTCTGAGCTTGGATGAGAAGAATAGTTCTAGGTGTCAAGGGTAATTGAATAGGAACACGACTGCGAATGGTTTCTGGGGATTTAGATTTGTTGGGATACTTGGGATGATAAATTGGAGTTTCGGTGTGTAAAGGGAATTTAATGAGTAACAAGGTTGTAGGAATTGCAACAGAGATTGTGGTGATGGCAGTTGTTGTCTCTATGGTATTGCTATTTGTGGGTATCTGTGTTGTGGTCTTCATCCATGTCTATATAGTTGGGAGGACTTTGGCCTTTGAGGAGAGGGTTCACTAGACAAACTTGGTTGAGAGGATCAAAAGTGGAGATAACAGCATGTCGCATGATGATCTGCAGAGGCTTCCTTGCTTTGATTTCAAAGCAGGAGAGAAGGGGAGTAGTCCCATAGACTGTGCTGTTTGCTTGGAGAATTCCAAGGTAGGTGACAAGTGCAAACTACTTCCTTGCAGGCACAACTTTCATGCTAACTGTGTGGATTTATGGTTATTAAAGACACCTATCTATCCAATCTATTGAACCAGTGCTGAACCCCGGAAGGCCGGTATGGTTATGGGCAAGGAAAGTAGTCACTCAATTGAGGTTCCAAGTGAATTCATGGAGACACGTCCAGTTGAGATTGAGCTCCAATCCACCCACTTTGCAAGCTTCAACTTCGGAATTTGCTGTTTAAATATCAACAGATATACATATTAAGTGATCTTCATACTTGAAGTTGGTTATATGAACACACATACTGGTAAAGATTAAGTTTTGATTCATTCCTCTTTTTGGGTGAATTTGAATCCTTGGGGTTGCTTGTACTTAGTGTTGAATTTCAAGATTCTTGTTGCATAAACAAATCACTATTACTGTTATGTTAAGATTGCAGTGCCAGGTGGGCTAGGCGCTGGTGAAGACGTTGATGAAGGTCTGTTGGGTGTCGAAGACCCGTGAAGGAGACCAGGATGGTCCCACATGAAGCAAAGCCGTCTGATGATAATCTGGATTTGCATCTCTAGCAGCTTGTATTTTGGTGTAAGTGTAATAAATTACAACATGTAATAGGAAAGCAATTTTATATGGGTTGAGGTTGCATGAATGGACGTAGAAGAAACGAGGATGAGGGGGATCTCCGGTAGAGAACAGACACAGACAATCTGGGATGGATTACACGAGGGTTTTCGGCTGAGTTTCAGGCAGTTTTTAGGTCAAATGTGAAATCTATTCAAAAACAGCTAATAATGGGTGGGTGTCTATTTTTGCCAAATTGAAAATGTTAACTTGACTTGTGAAGGGTATTTTCATCAAATGACACCTTATGTTAGCTGAGTTAACGGGGAAGGGGGTCTTTGTCTCACGATCATAGTACAGGGGGTCTTTGTCATAGACTCCATAGTACGGGGGGTCTTTGTAATTTACCCTTTTTATATTTTAGATATAAATATTTACTAAAATGCAGGGAAATGGGGAGGAAAACAGAGAAAACAAATAAACAAACTAAACTACAAGCAAACAAAACAAGGCAAAAAAAGCTAAGGACTAAGGCAGCTGAAATCCTTCTATGAAAGAAAACCTAAACAATCAGCACCCAAGAGGAGAGATGGCCAATGAGGGGTGACCTGCAGACCAAAAAACAAAACTGATCAACCTTTAGCAGCAAGCTCATGGGCTATTTTAATGGAACTATGACACAAACAAAACCAGCTTGAGCTTAATGCCAAGGAGCTTAAAGATGCCAGAGAGAAGAGGCCAAGAGTGTGGGGAGCAATAAACAATTGTAATTAAAATCATTAACTAAAAATAAAGAATCACACTTAATCAGCAAACTCCCTTCCTCCACCTGTCCATAGATATCGGGGGAAATATAAGGGTTAGGATGAGTGCCATTAAAAACGAACCCATTTCTAGCTTTCCATAATATCCATAATAAAGAAACTAAATATTGTAGAACAAAATCAACATCCTCAAAAACAAAAGGAATATGGTCCAACCACCAAGACCACCACTCTATAAAAGAAGAGGAGTGTAAAACCATGCATGCAGCCATTGCATGTTCACAATCTAAAAGAGCATGGATAATACTTTCTGATGACTTTTGACAAAGAGGACAATTTTCCATAACCTTTAACATTAGTCTGGTATTTAATCAAATCACTAAAACATCTAATTTCTTGTGGATTTGTTCTTGGACCCATTGGCTTGAATTAAGGTATAACGCAATCTAGCTAGGACTCCTCCCAAATGCTAATATTACTTCCATTAGCACCTCCTTTTAAAATGTCTCTCCCTGCTAGTAAGCTTCTAAAACCCCAAAAACAATTTGATGGAACTTTCAAACTCCAGAAATTCTGGTCTTTCAAATACCTTCTGAAATGATTTTCATCTAACCCTTCTATACTAGTAATAAATCCCCAAGACATTTTAACTAGGATAGCGAATTAAAAACTTGAGGGCTCTAAAACCCAAAGCACCATTGAATTTACTTTTCCAAATTTTCTACAAACTAATCCAGTTTAATTTCTTTATATTTTTAGATTCCCCACACAAAAATTTCCTCTGGGCCTTAGCAAACTGATTACAAATACCTTTGGGTAATAGAAAACATGACATAGCATAAGCAAGAATTGAGGTCAAACAATTTTAACCAAAACTTTTTCCCCACAAAGGATAAGAAACCAGATTTCCACCCAAGAGTTTTATTATCCATTCTTTCACACAAGTAATTGAAAATATTATGTTTGGAATCACCAATAGAAGAAGGCAAACCCACATAAGTTGAAGGCTTAAGAACTTTCTTTATGCCCATAACTCTTGATATTACTTTTTGAAGCTTTAGGTGCAAATTTGGACTAAAAAAGATGTCTGATTTAGAAAGATTAACCTTTTGGCCTAAAATTTCTTCATCCTATTTTAAGACCTCCATGATCATTCATCTTTCTACAATGTTGTCTCTTAAGAATATGTACAAATCATCTATTGACGCAGCATGATGTACTCGACCGGGCTAACTATACAAGCACCCGAACGATTGAGTCGGCTTCGGACTTGAAGCCTAACGAAAAGAACTAGGTGTAGAGCCTTAGTAGAGACAGAAGTGATAAAAGAAATTCTTGTGTGTTATTAAAGCTCAGAAACAGAAGTATTTATAATAAACACTGGTAAATTTGTAGAGTAAAATAACTAGGTAATTCGGACTTGTAAAACAACTAGGAAACGTGACTTGTAAAGCAACTTTGAACTCTTCTTCAATATGTCTTCGACGCCCTTCGTCTGATGTCAATGCCTTCGACGTCCACCGTTCGATGTCCACCATTATCCGATGTAGGTCGGTTGGCATACGGAGTCCTTTCTAAACTTGAGCTGGTGCCGGTTGGTTCAGTGGGTCTCGAGCTAGCCCTCCATCATTCTTCCCCACTTGGAAATAACTCGACCTCGAGTCATGATCAGGATAGGCAAGCGTCACTTCCGGCAAATAATGATGGAGATCAGCAACATTAAATGTTTTGGAAATACCCATGTGGTTTGGCAAGTCCACTATGTAAGCGTTGTCATTCATCTTCTTAATAATCTTGTACGGACCATACTTCCAAGGTTGTAGCTTGCTATGCTTCCCGACGGGTACACGTTCCTTCCTTAAGAACACCATGACTTCATCACCGACTTCAAACACCTGGTACCTTCGATGCCTATTAGCTGCAAGTTTATACTTCGCATTGGCCCGTTGAAGTTTCTGTTGTACTTCCTCTTGTACTTACCGGATTTGTCTTGCCAACTGTTCTACTGAAGTACTAAGACCTGGTGTTGTTTGACATATATAGCACCTACTCACGATAGTGTCACATCTCTTCTCAGTTTAGGCCAGTAGTAACGCCCCTTGACAGCCTCAATCGTCTTGTCCCTCCCAAGGTGTCCTGCTAAGCCGTCACCATGCAAGTCCCTAATGACTTTCTCACGAAGGGATATGCAAGGAATACACAATTGGTCTCCCTTCATAAGAAATCCATCATGTACGTAGAAATCACCCGCTGGTTGCATGTTCATGCATTTCTCCCAAACCTGCTTGAAGTCTTCATCCTAGGCGTACAGATCTTTCAAACATTCAAAGCCCATAATTTCGATACTGAGAGTCTTAATCAGGGCCACACGCCTGCTCAAAGCATCTGCCACTGTATTCTGTTGTCCAGCCTTATACACAATTTTGTATGGAAATTTATCAATAAAAGCAGACCACCTAGCATGCAGATCACTCCTCAACTGTTTTTGCTTACTTAAATACTTAAGAGCTTGATTGTCGGTGTAGAGGACAAATTCTTTAGCAATCAAATAGTGTTCCCAAGTCTTCAATGCTCTCACAACAGCATAAAACTCTTTATCATAAGTGGACCACTTCTTTCTATCTTCACATATATTCTCACTAAAGAAAGCAACTGGTCTCTTCTCTTGTGATAACACAGCCCCTATGCCCACTCCGCTAGAATCACACTTAACCTCAAATAATTTGTCAAAGCTTGGCAGTGCTAAGACAAGAGCGGTACATAACTTCTCTTTTATTAGGGCAAAACTTTGCTCTTGTTCCTCTCCCCATTGGAACTTACCTTTCTTCAAACACTTAGTGATAGGAGCTACAATACTACTAAAGTGTTTGATAAACCGCCTATAGAAAGTTGCTAACCCATGAAAATGCCTTACGTCAGTGACGTTTGTTGGGGTTGGCCACTCCCTAATGGCTCGCACTTTCTCCTCATCCACTTTAGTTCCATCCTTATTTACAACGTAACCTAAGAACAATAAACTATCGCTCATAAAAGTACACTTCTTCAAATTAGCTATAGTTTATTTTCCCTTAACGCACTCAATACCCCTCGGATATGTCCTATGTGCTCATCAACAAATTTGCTATAAATCAAAATATCATCAAAATATACCATAACAAATTTACCAATGAAAGGGTGTAGTACCTGATTCATCAGTCTCATGAAAGTGCTTGGTGCGTTAGTTAGTCCAAAAGGCATGACTAACCACTCAAACAATCCATCTCTTGTCTTGAAAGTTTTCCACTCGTCTCTGAGCTAGATTTTGATCTGATGATAACCACTCTAAGAATTGATCTTGGAAAAGACCACAGCCCCATCAAGTTGATCAAGCATGTCATCCAGCCTAGGAATGGGAAACTTGTAGCAATAGTGATCTTGTTGATTGCTCTGCTATCAACACACATCCTCCAACTCCCGTCTTTCTTCGGTGTTAATAATGCCGGTACCGTACAAGGACTCATGCTAACTTGGATGTGCCCCTTTTTCAACAGTTCCTCTACCTTCTCCCATAAAATCTCATTCTCTTAGGACTCATTCTGTAGTGTGGCAGATTAGGTAGACTAGCACCAGGAACAAAATCAATGTGGTGCTGAATGTCTCTCATGGGTGGAAGCTCATTAGGTAACTCGTCAGGAACTACATCATGAAACTCGTCGAGCAGTCCTTGCACTTCCACTGGAATTTTGTTCTCCCCTAGTGGTTCACTCATACTCTCTCCTTTTATAACCAGTAAGTGGACCTCGTGGGTATCTTTACACTCCCTTACAAACTTAGAGTAGCGATGTGTTATGGTAAGAAAATTCCTCTCCTCTACTTTTGAAGTCTTTGTTTGGTTATTTTCCACCATAGGTAATAGTGTATAGCGCATATCCTCTTTCTCAAGCTGGTATGTGTTCTTCCTACCCAAGTGTTTGGCATCTGCATCAAACTGCCAAGGCCTACCAAGCAAAATATGGCAAGCATCCATATCCACAATATCGCAATAAACCTCATCAATATACTTACCAATAGAGAATGGAACCTTGCAGCGTTCCTCCACATGTATGCCCCCGACTTCCTTGATCCAACCAATCGTGTAAGGGTTCGGGTGTTTATCAGGAATTAGTTGCAGTTTCTTCACCACATCTCTGTCGATAATATTTTCCTGACTGTCGCTATCAATAATCAATTCAAACAACTAACCTTGTACCGTACACCTAGTGCGAAACAGCCGGTGTCGTTGTTTGTCATCTTTACTTCTTTGAGATAGCATGAGCTTCCTCACAACACACATGTACTCTTCATGCTCATAAGTACCTTCTTCGTCCTCTCCATCGGGCCCACAATATACTTCGTCATCACCAACTTTTTCATCATCCCTCTCCACCATGTTAACTGCCTTTCTCCTAGGACAGTCACTAGTCCTATGCCCAACTTCATTGCACTTGAAGCACTTAAAAGGAGCAGGTTTTGCATAGGGATTAATGGTTTTAGGAGGGTTTGAAGTATTACCTCGAGTGTTTCCTCTCGTGGCGGCCTTACTGGTGTTAGCTACATTCGGCGGGTGGGAGGGTTGTACCCCTTGAGTTGGCTTGCCCTTGTCAACCGCTGCGGGCCTGTTGTCGTTCCCGCTATACCATCGATAATTATCGGCTCGAATCCTCTCTTGGAACATTAACTCAACCTTCAAAGCTAAGTTCCTCACTTCCTACACACTCATAACCATTTGGACTCTAATCTTGTCTCGAATAGCAGGCTTCAAACCACTCAAATAACGGGCTGTCTGTTGATTGTCGCTTTCTGACAACTTGTTCCTTTCAACCAATCTCAGAAATTCTGAGGTGTACTCGTTCACGCTTCTTGTTCCCTGTGCACATCGTTGATACGACTCAAACATATATTGTTCATAATCAGGAGGCAAAAACCTACCTCTTATTAATTGTTTCATGCATCTCCACGTTCGAATTGGACCTCTTCCTTCTCTGATCCGAGTCTCCCTCATTCGTTCCCACCAGACAGATGCTCATCCCTTCAATCGAAAAGCTACTAGTTTCACCCTTATTTCTTTCGGGATCTCCATGTACTCAAAGAAACGGTCGACCTCGGTGATCAAATCTAAAAGGCCCTCTATATCCAGATCTCCACTAAAAGTAGAGATATCCACCTTGAGTTTAAACTCATCATCATTCCGACGGCGATTAAAATTGCCATGATTTCGCCAATTCCTACCGGTCTTGCCATCACCGGGAGCAACGCCGAACTCTAGCTCATCGTCACGATCATCATCGATAATAGGGTTCCTGGGTATAGGATCAATGATTGGCCTACCGTGGTTGTCTCCCCCGGCTTAGTGCAATGCGTTATCCCTATTCCTTGGAACATCCTCCCGCAACAAAGTCCGTAGTTGTCCAGCGATCTCTGCCAACTGTTGTTCAATGTTACGAGTGGTTGTTCGCTGCTCTTCGATTGCTCTCCAAACAGCTTGTAACCCCTGATCTCCGTCACGGGGTTGGTTGCGACTGCTACCATCTTGGTTGGCCATCTGACTGGGCGAACTCCCGCTCTGATACCACCTGACGCAGCGTGATGTACTCGACCGGGCTAACTATACAAGCACCCAGACGATCGAGTCGGCTACGAACTTGAAGCCTCACGAAATGAACTAGGCGTAGAGCCTTAGTAGAGAGAGAAGTGATAAAAGAAATTCTTGTGTGTTATTAAAGCTCAGAAACAAAAGTATTTATAATAGACACTGGTAAACTTGTAGAGTAAAATAACTAGGTAATTCGGACTTGTAAAACAACTAGGAAACGTAACTTGTAAAACAACTTCAAAGTCTTCTTCAATATGTCTTCGACGCCCTTCATCCGATGTCAATGCCTTCGACGTCCACCGTTTGATGTCCGTGTCGGTTGGTTTGGTGGGTCTCGAGCTGGCCCTCCATCATCCACAAAAAATAAATGAATGATGGCAGAACAATTTCAATTTAATTTAATGTCGGATATCCTAAAGAGTGCAAATGTTGAATGGCCAAGGACAACACACTAGAGTAAATTAAGATAAATACAAGGATAAAGGGCCCCCTGTCTTAACCCTTTGAAAGGACAAAATTAAGTACTAGGACTTCTATTTATCAAAGCTTGATAGAAAATAGAATAAATACATTGCATGATCCAATCAATAAACTTTTCCCAAAACCTATTCTTTTCAACACCTTTTTGATAAGAACCCATTCTACCCTATCATAGGCTTTGTTTGTGTCTAGCTTAACAGCCATGTAACTTTACCTCTACCTTGTAGTTTTTATAAAATGAACAATTTCAAGGGAAATCAAGACATTGTTAAAAAGTAACCTTCCAAGTACAAAAGCATTTTGATATACACACAATTTTTAGTAAAATAGATTTTAGTCTATTAACAAAAATCTTGGTAATTGTTTTGTAAATGGTGTTACAAAGGTTAATGGAAAAAATTTGGAAGCACTCCCAATAATTTTACACTTTGGAATAAGAGCAATGAATGTTTTATTCGGGTCTCTATGCAGAACCCTAGTTTGGAAGAACTCTTTCACTTACTGATTTGAAACTACTACATACAATGTGCCAATGCTTCTAAAAGAATGAATTTGGGAGACCATCTAGACCTGGAGCCTTAAACAAAATTTAATTTCAATTTTATCAAATCTTAATTCTAGAATTGCAATTACTTCTGATATTTGGACCTCTAAATTTAATATAAATTATATTTGTGTTACAGGTCATTTTATTGATGAAAAATGGCTTTTACAATAAAGAATTTTAATTTTACTACGCTTGAATGTCCACATACTAAGCCAACTATTGTTGCGAGTACTTTAAAATATGGAGAAGTACGGATTTGCCCAATACAGATTTCTGATTTCCACTGCAGAGCTATAAACATTCAAAAGGTCAATAACCCACACCCTATGCACCAATGCTCCGTCCGTGAATTGGCATCAATTTCGAGCTGGCACCTACCTTGGCAGTACTTTGAGCCTACAAATTATGACCATGGGCTGATCGGTCATTCTCCCTTTAAAATACTATAAATGCTTATGGAATTGAAAATAAACTTTTTTCTATTAGTTATGATAATGCTAATAATAATGATGCAATAATAAATATTTTAAAATTGTAATTAAAATCATGTTTACGTGGTAAATTATTTCATATTAGATGTGTATGTTACATCTTAAATTTATTTATTTAAGATGCTATAAGTATTATCTCTCATCATATTTCTAAATGTATGTGTTTTTGAGCAAGAAAACAAGAATTTAAATATTTGTCAAAATCATGGTTTAAAATATAAACATTTTATATTAAATGTTCAACATATATGAAATTCTACCTATTTTATGTTAAGAAGTTGTATTCCTTACAAACAAACTCTTACTAATTTTTATAATGCAAAAATGCCACATGATATTATACTTAAGGATGACTAGGAAATGACGATTTGTGTAAAAGATTTTTTACAAAATTTTTATGATGCAACTAATGAATTTCCATGTGTTTATTACCCAACTAATTATACTTTAGTTAATCAACTATTTATGATTAGTGAATGTTTTGCAAAATATAGAAAAAAAAACACAATTTAAAAGTATTGTTGAAATAATAGAAAATAAACTTAAAAATATCGGGAGAACATTTATCATCTTTATTGCTTAGCTACAACATTACATCCTAAGAATAGGAAAGATGGTTTAGATATTTTACTTGAATGATATATTGTGAAAATATGAATATTGAAATTGGAAATCACAAAGAAAAAATTAATAGTTTATATATTATTTGAAATGTATAGCTTATATGAATCTCAAATGATAAGGCATAAAAAATCTGCAACTTGTACAGGTGTCACTTCCACTTCTGAAACAACTACTTCTGGTAGTAGAAAAGAAAGAATTTGGTCTCTAATAAGTAAGAGGCAAAAATCTACAGCCACTTCATCGACAAGTTTATTTACTAAAATTATTTTTTATTTACAAGCATTTTGTTCTAGTTTAAATGATTATTTCGACTTCGAGGAAATAGATAGTTTTGATATTTTATCTTGGTAGAGTAGACATGAAAAAAAAAATCTAGTCCTTACCGCAATGACACATGATCTATTAATCCCTCCGATATCTACAATTCCATCTAAGTCTTGTTTTAGTGTAGGTACTAAGGTATTGGATGACAAGAGAAGTTGCATGAATGATGAAAGTTCTAGAGATGCACATCTACTTTAAAGATTGATTGGATGCTTATGATATATTACAAGTCAAAGGAGGGCATGACATTACACCTAAAGTTTCACTTGGAGCAAATGATCAAAGTCAAGGAGATAGAGATGCAAATGGAACTTGAAGAAAAATGATGAAATCAATATTTTTTTGTATACTAAATAATTTTTTAACATTTTTAAAAAGTTATTATTGTAAATTTTGTTTTCAATTTAATTTAAATTATTTGCTATTTTTTCAACAATGTAATTTTTTATTTTTAATTTGTAATTGTACTATATTTTTTATATTTTATTCCATTTTCCATATTTCATAATTTTATTCATTCATTGACCATTGTGTTGTTCAAATTTAAATGAAATAAAATTCCTTTTTTTTCAATTTATTATCCATTTTGTATTTTGTTAAGTATTTTGTCATTTCTTTGTTAGATTTTTTATTTTTCCAACTTGTTCCCAAAGGAAATTTAAGAATTTTAGTTTTACTTAGAAAAAAATAAAAAAATTAAAAAAAAAACAATCTAGCTTGGTTCGACCCATGCTCAAAGTCCATCCTAGGCCTAGGCCCGCGACACGAGCTCGCGTGGGCTTAGGCCATAGGCCATGCTAGGCTGACCCCTCATATTATCCTAGGGAGGGAAGCGCGGCCCGATTCAGCTTGCGGGCTGACACAACATGACCCAATTTACACCTCTAGGTCCAATGCATAGGTAGGTCTGTCAATGGGTCAGTTCTAGGTCGTAACTTGGTAGAACCGGTCCTAAATTGACAAGAGAAATCATGGACCCAAAACCGACCCAAACCCTAGAGGGTCTATAATTTTGGACCCAAAACTGAATTGATTAGTGTCTTGGGAAAATCCGGTCCAACCTGATTATAATATGGCTATTGAGGAAAAAAAACCCTTGCTCCCTGGTACTCTGAACAATGCAAACAGAGGAGTATGACAAATGAACCGATCAGTTCTATTAGAGATGGTTTAGCTAGATCCCGAGCATTTAGAACCGTGCAAATAGAGGGGTAAGACTAAAGTTAGAAACATTCCCTTCGCAATGTCTAATTCTCAAACTCAAATGAATATTCACGCTAATAACTTGAAACTAACTTATAGATGAATTTTATAACAAAAAAAAGATTGAT